AATCCAAGCAATTTTCTTTCTAGTTCCCCAACAAATCATAATTCTATATACGATATGGAAGATGGAACACCTAAGATCATACTCCGTCCCTCTCCTTTGAATAACACATTACATCAACTATCCACTCTCAGCCATTCCAATCACACACTCTCTCCATACACTCGCTCCCTTGAGCATTTCACAGTACGTAGTGTTCCCCCACGTTATGCTGGAGGAAATTCCGGCTCGTCTTCGAGCATGGAGCGCCAGCCGGTCAAAGCAAAACGTAAAAGGACCTATCATCTAGGTGGTCAGAAGGCTGGTACACCGACATCCTTACCTTTGCCGCCTCAACCGCCATCTAGTCATTTCGATGACCGAAATCCGTCTTCTTCGAATACAAATGGCGCGGAATTTGATATCGACGTATCGGACATGGACCGTTACTTTCCCGTGAATGTCGATCAGAAAATTCAGAATCCGCTGTCCGACTCGCAGTCCTCGCAATTTTCTGGCGCTGGTGCCGATCCATTCAGCTCTCCGAACATTCATCCCCATCATTTTCGGCTACGGTCTTCATACATCCATCCAGAATAGATTTTTTTTGGTTTATTTGCATATGCCTGAGGACATATATTTCGTGCTGATATATCTTACCCTATCTCAATTGTTGTTTTTTTTTGTATTACTATCATTTGTGGCATTTCTTTCACATTCTGATCATTTGTCACTGCGTATGGAATAGCGGATGAAAGGCATCCAAGGAGTTGACCTCAAAGTCCTGTTTGGAAAACGGCCAGCCAAAAAATGAATTTCATGGTGGTCGTTAGTAGTTTAATCAGGTCAGTTGACCATTAATACCTACATCCACTGTAGATGGAAGCATTGCTATGAGTTATGCAACAAAGTCAACAGTTGGATGAGACTTACCGTGCATGCTAGGAAGCCTGCTTGTATTCTGCCTTGCGACTGCGGCCTGACGCAGCTCACGGAAGTCATTATTGAGGTAAGTTTTAGTTAGCCTTGTTGCTGCAGGTGACCGCAGCATTGCCGCTGGTGGTGATATTACTAGTCCAAGAACATCCGGAACACTGGTTCTAGATGGTGTCGATGGCGGCACAATTGATTGGAAAGGAGAGGGAGAAAGGATATCTTGAAGCTCTTGCAATGAAAGCTGTAGGGTATCTGGTATATTCATGTTTTCTGGAATGAAAGTTTCATCCTCGTCAACCGTGAGGGTGGTGCGGAGTTTGTTAAGTGTATCTAGTCGGTCTCTAGGAAGCGACGCCGAAATGATATCGTATAATTTAGCCAGAGTATCAGATTTAATACCATAGAGGACAGTCAGCTTCTTTTCTGGAGGTTGTGTAGTTAGCCATGTCATAAGTGATAGTATCACGCTGCTTATTTCGGGAGACAGATTGACATCGGAAGCGGACGCTTCAATAACACCCAATGCCTGTCCGATATTTAGACGAAGCATGGCGAAATCGAGGTTCTTCGGGGATAGAGTATTCAACACAGCAACAGCTTTGAGCCATAACTGAGAATCGAGGTCTGTCGCTGATTTATCTCCTAGTTGAATTGTCCTTAGGAAAAGAACTACCAAGGTAAGTCTGAGATTGTTGTCTTCAAAGCGGTCGCAGTGGAGCAAGAGAGTTTGAACAACGGCGTCTAGACGATAAGACAACACCCGAGCGATCGATAGATCTGAAAGGGACGTCGTTAAACTGTTGAATGCCTCGGAGACGCTCTTCAACGTCCGGAGACACCATTCGAGCATGTCAGAGCCTGTTTGTAGCATATGCCCTAAGAGCCACAGATGTAGTCCAATCTGATACAGCAAGACAACCGTTTGAATATTTGTGTCTTCCTGGGAGTTATCGAGTTCAGTCGAAGACAGAAGAGTTTTTGTGCAGCGCTCAAGAAGCTTCATCTCTTCGCTGAACAACCATTCTGCCATCCCTACCAAGCTCTGACTGTCGAGCCTCACCAGGCGGCGAAGCAAGTGGACTTTACTTTCAACATCGAGTTGACGGAAAAACTCCTGCGTCTCGTCAAGGATATTTGGAAGCACCCGGAACACCCAATGCTCTTCCTGATTTTCTTTTGTTTGCTCATTTTCAGACATGGCATCTCTAGCATTCGCACCAGAATCCGAATCGGGCAAGATGTAGTCGATAAGAGCAAACATCTGTAAAAGATGATATGCTGGATCCCTCTTGGACCTCCCTACCCCATGCTTGAGTAGTACGCTCATCACGATTTCTGCACCGCTTTTACCTCCCTGAGGTTCAACAACAACGCCTCCTGCGCCAAAGTTTGACGCTGTACGAACAAACTCCAGACAGGCTTGACGAGTGTGTTGTGCAGAGACACAAGCAGGTGTGCCTTGTGCATATATGGTGTCAGCGGCATCTGTACATGCAAAGACGTCTGCAACGCTAAGGACAAGGGAGCGCAATGTGTAGGCAGATAGTGAGAAGGACAACGGTTTCGAGCTCGAAGACGAGGATGGTTCTAGGACAATGGTTAAGCGAGTCAGAAGTCCGAGTATGTCCTCCGCTAGTTGAAAAAGCTGAGAGAGAACCTGCGGAAGGGACATTGCTGTCGAAGAATGAAGCTGTGGTTGGGTTTCATGTTGGACAGGGAACGGTGAGGTTATACGGAAGTACCCATTTACATCTTGTGCAATTTCCGCTAAAAGCTCTGCCAGACGAGGAATCAACGCTGTTGATTGTTCATCCCAAATCGTCTGTAAAACATTCCAATCCACTTTCTGGGGATCCTCTGCTAATTCTCTTTCGACTAGCGCGATGCTCACGCGGAGGGTCCTCAAGCGTCTGTAAGATAGTGGATGAGTATTAGGCAAAGTGAGTTCCTCGATAGCGGCCGGTAGACCGTCTTCGACGACCAAGGCGATCTTCCGCATGGAGAGTCGGTCGTTCTCGTATATGTGGGATAAAGGTTGCTTGAGCGAGAGAATGGTCTGGACGAGATCGTCGTTGAGAGCAGCATAAGGTTCGTCCAGGAGCTCAGAAAGGATTTGTTCACCGAATATGCCAGATTTACGGGGTGTATCGTTAGTGGTTATCCATTTCAAACGAAGTGTGAATTGACGAAGGAGAAGAAGGTAGTTCACAATCTTTGGACATGTACTTATGAGATGTGCCTTAAAGGTAAACATATGATTGCGTACCTCTCGATATTCTCCCGTACCCTGCCAAAGTCTCAACACACCTAAGGTTCTCTCCCTACAAACATCATCACCCAAGCTATCTGACCATGCCCATACCGACAACACACTTGCTACGCCAATGAAGGCTCTGACAAACGCAATGAACTCGTCGTGAGATACAGCTCCCATAGCGCTCATCGAATCATTCACTCCATTCCTCACAAAGAGCTTCGGATAAGCTCCACTAGAATTTGGAACGATCGGATTTTCCGCAAGCTTGGTGACCAAATCAGTATGCCCTGTCATGCTGGCCAACCAGATGCCCAAGCTCTGCTCTCCGGTGCCGATGTCTCGCAGAAACGCAGTTGCAGCTGCGAAATCAGCTTGGGTATTTGATAACGCGTCTTCGAAGACCTCCCAGGCGAGGAGACGCGTAGTTAAGCGCTCGGCGGCTTGTTTAGCTGCCTTTGTTTGGGTAACGCTGTTGGACGGTGATAGAAAGTCTGTGAGAACGTCTAGGAAATATACGGTATGCAAGTAACGCGCGATATCGGCGTTGGCGGAGGCATCGAGTAGGTGCAAGAGTGTATCTTCATCGAGTGACCGAACGTCAAATACGGTATCGATTTCGATATTTTGCTGTCGTTGTCGAGCATGTCTCAGCATTTATTTCATTTTGAGTCAACGAATATATGCTCACACACAGAGCCAGCACTAGTGAAGGTCGTTGGGACGCAGAGAGCTTGAACAACTTCGCGATATGGAAAGCTTGACTTTTGCTTTTGGAGTCAATATGGTCTGCCACGGCCCGAGCAAATCTTGTCAACATGTCTTCTGCCACATCGTCAGAGATTGGTTTGGACATTGCATCCAATACCGCCTCGATGTCAAAATGAATTTCATCTTCATCTTCGCCACCGTTCACAGTTTCGTCGTCCTCTTCCAACTTCAAAGTGGATCGAAAGATATCTCTGTCGATGTCCACAAACAGGTAGGGAAAATCTGGATCGTCCCAGTCGTCATTGTCCGGTTTGAGGCAGAACATGAGTCTAGATATCAGTGAGAACGGAGGTGGCACTTCTAGCAGGGAAAGAAGATTCCTCGCGAGGAACGTTGGATCAGAGGAGTTTGCTGGGTCAATAGACGCGGATATTGTTCGCGTTTCCATTGAGAGTATCGACTTTGACACTGAGCTGGGTATTTCTTCCGCAGAAAGAGGCGGAATGATAGATTCTGATACAACTTCGCCATATATTGCAAGCGAAAGAGCGTCGAATTGACCTTTGACTATCATTAACCGTGTGGCATACTGTGGATTTATTATCAGTAGCAGTCTGAATAACGTATGAAAGTTAACGGACCTCAGTACCCAAGTCCACAGTAAAATCAACTTGGCCGCCAGCATACGCGATCGTAGAGGGCACTAGTGCGTTGGTTGCCCGCTGCTTCTCTTTCGAGTCAGATGAAGACTGTACTGGTTGAGCATTGAAGTAAACATCCAGAAGGAAAGAGTCCGGCTCAGTTTCACTGCCATTTTTTTTTAGCACATACGCGAACATTGTACGCTAGACAACGACAGAAACAACATACCCAACAATGTCCGGGGATTGATCAAAAGGTTTCGCGCCTGCTGGGAAAACACGAATGGACTTTACTCGTACAAGTTTGGCGAATCGTATTGCAGCGAGGCCAGAGGGTCCTTTAGGGACCAAAGTACACCAGTGCAGCAGTTTCATTGAGTGAGTGAAACGGGAATAGGATCGGAAGGCCGGATGAACGGAGAGCAAATCTGGTCTGATGTAGTGGGCCTCTACATATACATTTACTAGCACTAAACAATTAAGCCCCCGTTGTCTAATGGTTATGACGTCAGACTTCTACATTTGTGAATCTGGAGGTTGCGGGTTCGAGTCCCGCCGGGGGTTATCTGCTCGGAACTTTTATTCCACATATCTTATGTCTTCGTCAGTTTATATCAACAATCAATGCTCAATTTTGGTTATTTTTCCTCTAACATTGTTTTTTTTAAGTTCGTTACTGGGAGATAAGTAGTGCTAATAACGAAGGTCAATGCTTTAGTGAGAGAATAATGTATCGATGCAGTGCTATCCAAGTAAGTTTTGTTTACTATGCCCAGAAAAAATCTAAACGCAGGATGGAAATTCCGATGGGTCACCTCAAGGTGACCGTCTTTAATGAACGGGAAGAAATACATAAGTAACCTCTCCGGAATGACGGGAGTGTGTGGTAAAATCCCAAGAGAAGGCAAGGGTATTGCCAGCTACCGGCGAGACATTAACCTGTAAGTCGTATACCCTCCGATGACCGCAAAAGCGGCAAGGCATGCGATGATAGATACGAACCACGCATACCCTGAAACGTCCTGCCCAGGTACGTGTACGTTCATACCCCATAAACCTAAAGCCCAAAAAGAATGACATCAGATTAAATGCAGCTTTACAATTAGCATTAAAGAGCACAAAACACAAACAGAACAAGGAATTCAGAAGGTGATAAAGACGCTTACCGGTGACTAGATTCATAGGAATGAGGACCGTACCCAACGCGGTAAGCTTGCTCAAGACATCGTTGATTTGGTTGTTCGCTTCGGTCATCTCAATGGATATCTGAGCAAGGTAGTTCGAGTGCGACCTAGAGAGAATTTTCTCATAATGGTTCAGCGACTGGGTCATGGTGATCAAATGGTCCTGATAACGAGCGGGAAAGTCAGCCTTTCCTATGAAAAGATGAAGGTAGGCAAGCTCACCTGGATATCTGAGAGGTATAGACCCTGGAAAACTAGCCATTCAGCTGAACTCATGCAAACAGAGAAATTTCTCGCACAATATCACTCGTCGGAGCAACCTGCCAGTTCTCATTACACCTCTTTGCTAAACCTTTCACCACATCCGCTTTATTACCCATCAAGCGCAACAATCCCATAACTTTCTTCCTACATGTCCCAATTCGTCTCAACATGTCGCTTTGCTCGGTGCTGTCTTTTAAGATCAACACCAGCTCGTCAATAGAGTCAACCTCGTATTCGATGCTTTGAATGAGAGGTCCAAAAGCGTCGGTGATGTCGTCAATGAGAGCGTAAGAGATCCAATCAGATGTGACAGATATATAATCTTTCAGCTGCTTTATTCGCCTTCGAACAGAGGATGGATGAGGTGTTGGGCGGAAGTGAAACTGAGCGAAACCTTAGGGTGTAGAAAAGTGGGATGCAGATAAAAAGAGGCTTACGGATAACGTGCCCTCTCTGAAAACAATAATGTACATATTCAAAGGTTCCAGATATGTGGGACTGTATGAATCTTGATCGAAGCTTCGGAAACACACAAGATAATAGTTTCTGAAAAGCTCTATCTTCTCGCGCGTTTCCTCCATTTGAATGTCTTCAGTAGTAAGCGGGTGAATTCTAAAGACCTGTTCAAGTAGTTATGACATGAAACCATAATTCTTTGATAACATTACAAGCCCACCTTGCTCAACATCTTCATCTCCTCGTCAGTCGGGCTGAGTACATCCAACCACCATGTGAACGATTCTGGATCTTCACCTTCGTAGCTTGAAAATCCTAGACCACCGCCAAAGCCCGGTCTACTTCTATACGAGGGCTTTACATTTCCAGGGAAATAACCTTTCGGCCCTGCACTCAGTGGCTTCTTGTCTTTTGTGTTAAGATCATTCTGATCTCGATTGACACCTGCAAAGAGATCCTCAAACGTCTGTCCTTCTGCAGGAATCTCAGAGAGACTACGAGCATGTATAGTAGAGGAAAGAGCATTAGAGTAAAATGAAAACCGGTAAGGTCGATCATGTCCTGTGTTGAGGCCGGGTACTGAAGGATATTGCGAGGCAGGAACAGTAGCTGAACGGAATAAAGAAGGCGAGCCATTGTCGAATGGAGGTGGGTCATTTATGTTCGAAGCACCAATAGCACTGGCGTTACCGCCAGGCCCGAGAGAGAAGGGAATTCGATTTGGGCCTGAGGAACCGCCATGTGTGTTTTCAAATAGAGCAAGCTTCCCCCCGATCCCTTTGCGGTGAGAACGAGGATGTGGGTTGCTTTGACTAAGTTTACGCTGTCGGATTGCGGAGGCAGCTGCTGTGTCGGAGTCAGCAGTTTCACTGCTCGTGACAGGAACATCAACAGGACCGGAAGTATCTGCTGATGACGGTTGTGGTTGTGGTGCAAGAGGCGTTTGTTTCGATGAAAATACATCGTCTGTGAATAGTTTGTTTCTGAGGGGAGGGAGGCTGAATTTCGGAGTATGGGTTGAGGAAGATGTGATACCCAAAGCAAGCCTTTCAGAAGCGGCAAAAGCTTCCATCGATGCGAAGTTGAAAGCAGACTGTGACATGTTTGCTTGGTAGGTTGGAAGTATTCCGAAAGCAGATGTAGATTGATCGTCTCGTTGAGCAGATGAATGCACAGCACCGTTTAATGAAACGAGTAAGCTGGGATCATGGGATTGAGGTAAAAGATCTCGAAGGTCAACGGGTGAGGGCTGCCGCTTGGTTGTGATAGACTCTAAGTCGTCTATTTCCTCTACAGAAGGGCCTTGGGCGATATCTATGTCACGCTGCTCTCGGGGTGAAATTCCTGCCTGAGCGACATTATCCCGGCTGTCTGTTGGCATTTCCTGGTGTAGAGCTTGAGGAGAGGAGATGATAGTATCCCTACGAGCCTTGGAAAGCTGCATTGCCATATCCATATCCAGAGTTTGCTGGCGTTCTCTGACCTGAGGATCATTTGGATCGAATGACCTTGCTAATGTAGGTGAAAGTCGAGGACGATTGTCGGAATCATCAACACTGATGCTGGAGCTGCCTTTTCGACGGACAGGTGAGCCTCCTCGGGTCGAAACTGGCGAGCTGGACAGTACTCCACTGCTCGACATGACTGCTCAAAGGACGGAAAGATAAGATAAGATTTGAAAAACTCCAATGAGCGCTAAATTTTCCGTTATGTCTCTCAATGAATGCTCTGATACCACGCTTTGGATTGGGAAATGCTTAAACATGAGCCTCGATGGTTCGAATTGTCAACTGAATTACGCCCGATTCTAATTGAAAGACTCGATAAAAGATTCTACCGTTCTTCCTTCCGCCTTGTATAACAACTCTCATACGGCTTTCTCTTTCTCGAGAGGGAAAATATGCCTTTTCTTGAACATTTTATTGGAAAGTACATCACCACTGAGCGTAAGCACGCCGTTACAAATTCTCTATCAGGTGTCATAGTGTCCGGGATACTATCTCAAAGATACGGACGAGACAAAATCCTGGTCGACGAAATATCCAAAGCCATTGAACGTCAGATCAAGGCTCTGCAGTTTACGGACCAAAACAGAAGAATTGAAATTCGTACGACGGAAGGCGTGTAGACTCTGAACTATGTAGTGTTGGACACAGAGGACTTTTATCGATGGGAACGTCAGAATCATCGACGGTCAAATGAAAAGGGATCTAAGACGAAGGAGGATATCGATGAGATACAAGTCCGACATTGGAATAGATGTGATTGAAAGAGTGGTGAGTAGACAAGATGAGCGAACGAAGAAATCTTGTATGGTTGTTCGCGGCCAGCTGTGCTTGTATTTTCCTCTCTCGTATGAGAATATAGGGATAGATAGCGAGGTCAATACCGCAAATTTCAAAGACGCTGGTAACTCATGATCATCTACTATGAAGCACTCGGACCTTGCTTGGGAAATAGTGATCTAACACTAGAAGCTTGCATGGGAAATATTGTCCGTTTGATAGACTCGGATTCATTATTCCGTTCCCGGTAATATTTTCTGAATTGTTTGCTGAACATTCAAAATTCATTTCCTCAGAAAACAAGCATATGTCGAAGGAAATGAGTTGTTTCGATGGGAGTCTGGACATGTGAAGCGCATTCAAACGGGGAAAAAGACTCGATGTTCGGAGTGAAAACGGTCACAGTCCACTGAAGATGGAGATATGAGCGGGATCATGAGTGAGTCAAAGTTCAGATAATCTGACCTGCCACATCCATCAACTTCAGATGAGAGCCCAAGTTCACCTCTCAGAAAGTAGAACAAACCAGTTTTGGCTAGTTTAGTAGGCCCTTAGCTAACTATGTATTACATTCATCAAGCGAAAGTTCGACCACACTTTGTATGTACTGGTTCGCCTTATCTTCGGAGACGGCCGATAAAGTGCTCAAAGATTAGATAGTTGCAACGGGGTCACAGACAGATAGACGGACGAAAAAGTCCACTTGGGGTAACCTAGGTGGCCATAGGATCGGCCTCTCATCAGCGTTGTGCGTGCAGTAGACACCTGATATTGGTCATATGGGAGGATGCCCCAGATCATATAACCCATCGATAACAACCTACGCATATGCTGTGGTCCCCGAGGCAAAGCCAACACTGACAGTTGGATCGGGTATCATGTGGTTCGATGCCATGTGACATACTCCACCCCGCGATTAGGTAGTCATGTTCTATCATGTGCAAGTTAGAACCGGCAGGTTAGGGCAGCGGTTAAGCCCTCTGATGAGCTCCTTCGCGAGAGCGAAACCTGCTACAAAGTCCTAGCCTTTCGGGTTCAAACCCCAAAGCTGTCCATTATTACTCGCTTCATTCATCGAAAGCCGGAACTTCCGGAATCCGGATCGAGCCTGAGCTCGCGAAGTTGAGTCTTGTTCATTAGCACCCACGACCTACGGTTATTGTTAAAGGCCTACTTTCCAGGCCTCTGGCCACGACAAACCAATGAATGGTTTCCGCAGAATCCTCAATGGCGGTGGTATCACACAAAGCCCGGGGCCACCTCCATCACTCGACTTGGACAGTCCACCCTCTAGCTCCGCACCTTTAGCCTCGGCATCTACTGCTTCAGCCTACTCAAACTATTCGAACTCTCCCGGTCCATCGACACACCCAAT